AAGGTCATATTAATCAATTCCTAAGATACGCTTGTCAGACCCTTTGGGTCTTAAGGACCTCGGAGCCAAGGGGTTCGACAGGAAGACATCAACCCACTTCAGATGAACAAAGTTAGAACCACTTTCGATAATTCTAGCAAAATTACCTTAGAGTTCAGTGCAACAACTTCGATCGTTGACCACTTACACAGTGTTTCGCTTTAGGGCCTCGACCACTTATTCAAGGCATCGGCTTAGGACCTCTTAAGCCTCGGTTCGAGGCGTGGACTTCTTCTTAAGCTTTGGTGGTCATCTTTCAAGGCACGTCGACAGGAACTTCGGCTATCTTTGAAGGCACCTCGGCTTACCTTTTGAAAAGCCTCGGCTTGGGCTTTGTAAGTACCTCAACTGAATATTTGGAGGCACCTTAGCTGACCCCCTTAAGAGCATCAACTAAATTACTGATTTACAACTCATCCATTCATTCCACATATATTATTGTGGTGCCTTTGCATCACATTTCATATTTGACCAGCAACAATACTCCTCCAAGTATGAGTCATACATTCATGTGTGGGTCAAACTTTTTTTTGTACCTGCAATTTTGTGAATTTTTGGCAATTCAGCTGCTCTTTTTTGTTGTTCAAGGGATGTATTATCTGCTCATTTTGCTTGTGTTTTTCTCTTCTTTTTGAGAGTGGTCCTCGTCGAGATCCTACTCTTCGTTTGTGTTGTCCCTTCTGGGTTGATATTTCTCATTTTGGAGGTGGTTTACTTCGGGGTTCAGCTCATTTGTTCAGTTGCCTCTTAGGCTAATATTTTCATTGAAATGCCTCTTGGGCTTATAATCATTAACATGTCTTTTGAGCTCATATATTTTTCAAAGTACCTCTATGGGCTAATACCCTTGGGCTAATTCTCATAGGAGTGTCTCTTGGGTTACTTTCTATTATTCCTTCAAAGAAATGGCCTCAGAAAATGTCATATATTTTGTCAAAATTTCGACAACATCTCCTTTGTAATGTGGACTAAATTAGTCCTGTAACACAACACAATATGTCCACTGCACATATATCAAATAAGCACAGGTCCATTTTGCCTGGCCAAATACTCACAATTATGAAATGAATAATGACATATCATATTTTTCCAAGATATATATGCAGAGAGCCTGTCATGTGTATCACAGCACTTCATATGCTTGATGACAGTATAGATGATGTGACATGCATACCAGCATTGCAAAATAGTGTCATGGGTCATGAGGCATGCTAGCAGTGAGGTGACATGCATGTTTGGTAGTAATAGTATTGTGCATATACTAATAGTAATCACAATAATCCCCTAAATCTATGTACATATATTCACATAATAACAAGGATTTCAAAAGTGAAATAACTTAATAAAATTTGCACAAGCACTTATCGTGGATGTTGTCTAAAGCCCTTATGTAGGTTAAGTCTTTTGCTTTGAAGTGTTGATGAATGAGTTGAAGTTATGTGTCTAAGCTGTCTACTTCAAATGTTTTGCTGAATTTTCGAGGAAGGAAGCCGAGGTCCCCATTGCCCTAGGCTATTTACTTCGAATTTTATGAAGGAAGCTGAGGTTCTTATTTTCCAAAGCTCTTTGGCATGTTAATATATGTATATAATTTTTTTATTTTTTTTACCTCTTTGCAAGGGGTTTATTCTTCTGTGCAAATGCATCATCCATGGTGTTTGATCCATCCATGGGAGGTTTCTCTCTTTTTTATCTCCTTGCATGGTGGATGCTTTACCTATGTCAAAGGCTTGTTGCATGGTGGATGGTTAACTAATATCAAGGGCCTCCTGCATGGTGGATGGTTCATCTATGCAGGGGATAATATAAACATTCTGAAGATAAACATAACCATGCTATAATTACGACAGAGGCGTAATGAGCTTTCTAAAGATAAATACGGCGATAATGCAATAACTCATATGGCGAGGCATCTCTCGAAGTGAGGAATAAATATCAAGCTGGTGGCTCTTCTTTTGTGTTATTTCTCTCCTTTAGAGACCTCCCTTTTGTAAAATAGGCCTTTCAATAGCCTCTTCACCAAGGACCTAAGAGTGTTTTCTTATTCAATGCCACTTCTTTAGCAGCCTCTATTTTTTCAAAGGTCCTACTTATTCATAGCCTCTTCTTCAGAGGCCTCCCATTTTCAAGGGATTTACTTATTCAATGCCACTTCTTTTTTAGGCCTCTCCTTTCTCAGGGGGTCTTTTTCTTCATGGCCTCTTCTTTAGAGACCCCTATTTATTCAACGCCACTTCTTGAGCGGCCTTTCCTTTACCAGGAGGTCTTTTTCTTCATGGCCTCTTCTTTGGAGACCTCTCCCTATTAGGGGTCTACATATTCAAAGCCACTTCTTCAGCGGCCTCTCCTTTTCTCAGGGGGTCTTCTTCCTATTTCCTTGCATTTGAAGTTGTTGTACAAGGCCTTTTTTCTATATGATGCTTCTCATGTTGGTAGCCATTCAGCTATTTCCCGATTGAGTTGAATAGTTACTCTTATTCTACCTCGTATATGCTAGTAATGAGGTCGGTGATGACTTATTGGGAAAGTTCTCCAGGAGACCCCTTCTTCAGGGGTCCTCATACCTCTTCGAAGTGAGACTACCTCACTGCTTGAACTCATTTTTCCATACAAATCTTTTCTTCAAAGATATGGAGGTCATTCAAATGGATTTCTATCTCAACATATTCCCTTTTTTCAACGAATATCGACAATCCACATACCAATGTAGACTCCAAAGCTTTTCTTGGGGCTTCCACTTGTTCTTTCTTCAAAAACAAATCATTTTTCAAGAAGATACTCAAGTCTCTAATGTCAAGCTTTTTCCACGGGACGTTCGTGGTTATAGTGTGGTTTCCCACATATGACGTCAATATGTTGACCTCCAAAAATGGTCAACATGTGTCGTTAGAAGATAATGTACACGTGGACTTGTTTTGTAGTATATCTACTGTAAATATATTTGTGAAAGAAGAAGAAAATAGAGACAATATATTATGTTCTCCTTTCCATTCAAAGATTCATCCTCCAAAACGATACAAGAATGGGGTATTTATAGTGTTACCCATGAGATGTTATCCATTGGATGAGGAGCCACGTGACTTCATCTTCTCAACCAAAGCATCTAATCATAGCCATCATTTTTTGANCTACTATTCCAAAGACTTTAGCAATTGAGTGTGTAAAAGATTACATACATAAATTATATATTTTATATAATTCACTTACCTCTACATGTTCTATGAATGAGTTATATATATATAAAGGTAAACTAGAAATAAAAATTCACATTAACCAAGTTAATATATATATAATCGAACCACGTCAATTACTGCATTTCATTCTCTGATTGATGCCTAATGTTTTGACAACCTACGTACCACGAGTTTTGACCTCCGTTAACCTAGTTCGTTAAGTTACAAACTTGTAAGATAATAAATTCAATATTTGCCAAAAATTTTAAGGTTTCAAACCTAACATAAGGATAATGACATGTAAATTTCCCAGGAAATGATGCAAATATATAATAAATCAATTCCAAATGGTCATCCCTAAAGACATTAAAATAAACGTCAATTGTTGTAAACTTACTCTTGGTGCCTTTCTGATTGGGCATAGGACGCCAAATGTTAGGTACATTTATATTTATGTATAAAAATAAAAATTAGAAAACATTGCAGTAGTGGACTCTAACCTTTTCGATTTTTGCAGATTTTACTCTTATCTTTATTTTGTGTCAGCGAAGGTCCCTAACCTTTAATAAATATGCACCTGAAGTCCATCTAGATGGGAACCGTTCAAAAAACTTCCAGTTGACCCGAAAAATTCCTTAAACGCCTATAATTTAGTGACTAAGTTAAACAGATTAAAGTTAGGTGAAAATATTGAAACCTGCCTATAATTCATTTTGGTTTTTCATTTTTGTTTTCGTATATTTATATAAACATGAATAACACTATATATTTTTAAATAATATTGATTTGTGAAAGTTCAAGGATAATTTACATACCCCCATCAATACCATGTGAAATCAAGATAATTTAAATTTGTCCCAAATCACACTGCAAAAGTTTCTTCATTGCATATTCAAAATAACTCGCGAAACGACTACTGACCTCCAAAAATAGACAACAGGTATCGTCAGAAGATAATGTACACATTGACGTATTTTGTAGTATATCTACTGATTTACAACTCATAGAGACAATATATTATGTTCTCCTTTCTATTCAAAGATCCGTCCTCGAAAATAATACAAGAAGGGAGTATTTATAGTATTACCCATGAACTGTTGTCCATTGGATGAAGAGCCACGTAGCTTCATCTCCTCAACTAAAACATATAATCCTAGCCATCATTTTTGACTTCTTAGCCTATGGTGCATTTAATATTCTTACACATAACAGTCATCCTATTGATAAGATAAGATATTTATACTCATTACAA